CTCTTACGTTTTAGCTTCTATTTGAGCAACCTTATTAGTTAGTGTGTTCAGGATAGTCTTTTGCAATTCTTTATGGGTCAATAATGCTTAATCCTGCATGTGAATTTTTGTAGAGTTTAATTCATGGTCATGTTACAAGTACTCACGTATCTTAATTGCTTTCTACATCAGAACAAATTACTTCATAGCAGACTTGAGGCTAAGCATCTTAACTCGGCTGAGAGGGACAGCCTTTCTGGTAAAATATCATCTGGAAGCACTGACTCGGATCAACTTGAAGATTCGGGTTTGCAAAGTGTAGTTAATTATCTACGCAGAACCAAGGAAATAGTAAGAAAATTTTCTTTTTAGGATTGCTTTTTTCTTTCTTTATGCCCCTTCTTTATACGGTGGGGTTATCTAAGTCATGTGCATCCTTTTTGACAGGCTGAAACAGAGATCTCACTAATGAGACAGGAGAAACTTCGGTTGCAGTCGCAAGTGAGTTGTTGCCTCCTCTCTTATGCCTAATTTGCTACGACATCCCTTTTAAGCAACAACCTTTCTCAATACATACACACACATGCAAAGCGAAAACCTCCTCTATTATTCTGAGTTGTGGCTGCGGTATGATTTTTTTGCAATTTGTTATTGTCTAGCTTGAGAGTGCCTTGAAGATGGCAGAATCTGCTCGGGGATCACTTAATGCTGAGCGCGCCAGTACAAGAGCTTCTTTATTGACCGAGGATGGAATCAAATCTCTTCAGCTTCAGGTAAAGTTGGGTGATTCGATATCTGATAACATATGAACTAATGATCTAGTTAGCCTTTGTATTGGTTGGGTTGAAACTATTTTCATTTTCTGACTTTAAATTCTCCTTGCAGGTTAGTGAGAGGAACTTGCTCCGTGAAAGCAACATGCAACTCAGGGAGGAAAACAAACACAATTTTGAGGAGTGTCAGGTTCGTATGGAACCTTTCTTTATGTCCCTTGAATGACTGAACTACATTCCACTACCTGATTTTGTTAGCGGTCTTAGAGAAAGCTGATAAAAAATTTTAAACATCAGAGATTGCGTGAGGTAGCTCAAAAGGCTAGGATGGAATCTGAAAATTTCGAAAACCTATTAAAGAAAAAGCAAACAGAGTTGGACTTGTGTATGAAAGAGATGGAAAGGCTAAGGATGGAGACAGATCTTCACAAAAAGAGGGTTGATGAGGTACGTCATTATAAACTACTTGCGTCATATATTTATGGGCTCATACTTACAGTTACTTTTTGCTACTGGTTCATACTTACAATTACTTTCTTGCTTTGTGAAGTTGCGGGAGACGTACAGAAACATTGATGTTGCTGACTACAATCGCCTCAAAGATGAAGTGCGGCACCTAGAGGTATGCCTATAAAGAAAATATGACGGTGTCGAAATTCCTGCAATAGTTGAGGTTTTTTCCAAGGGTGTGCATGGATAAGATATCCCTACCATTTCACTATATTTGTTATCGTAAAATTAGTTACAATGTCAATGTAGATGATACCATGTCTGCTGAAGGTAGTTAGTTCTTGCTCCTAGATCCCAACTGGTTAAAGAACATAAGGTCCTTTATCTATTTGATATCGGGATGGTCAATGAAACATGTGTGGGATGCCCTTTGAGAGAGCTTCTTCGTCTCCTAGTTTGGGACTACTCCCTAACTTGTAACATACTCTCTAAATTTCCTCCTCCTCGCTGGAACACCCCAACTCTATGTTGATTTCCACAGTTGCATTTTCGATCATCAATCGCATATAGAATTCTAGTGTACAATAATTGTCATTTTGGCTGATGAGAATTTTTGGTGAAATCTCTGTTAATAGTGTCTGAGGATATTGTTAATATTGTCTCATTTTGGCTTCGATAATTTGTTTAATTTGAATTCTGGGCGTCCCACTGGTCTTTAGCACTGCTTTTCATTTAAGTTCTTATATCCTTTTTGCCGCCATGATATGACTTTTAGGAGAAACTGAAAGCAAAAGATGCTCATGTTGAAGATTTTAAGAAACTTCTGTCGGAGAAGCAGAATAAGATATCTCTTTTGGAGAAGGAGCTAACTAACTGCAAAAAAGATCTGAGTGAGAGGGAGAAGAGGTTAGATGATGCTCAGCAAGCACAGGTAGAGTGAGAACTATCTCGCTGAGTGCATTTTAGCTTTTATATGTTGAAGAAGTACTATCCCATGTAGATATATTCATCTATCTCTGTTACTTATTGTAGGCTTCTATGCAGTCAGAGTTCAATAAGCAGAAACAAGAGTTAGAGAAGTACAAGAAAATTCAATCTACTCTGAATATGACCAAGGTTCGAATTCATTATTTTTTTTGTTTGACGACTTCTTCTAGATGTTTTTCTTTTAACATAGCGAGTTTTTATTATGTCATGAAGAGAAAATACGAAAAAGAGAAGGAGGATTTGAGCAAACTAAACCAGTCACTCTCTAAACAGTTGGACGAAGCCAAAGAGGGTAACTATTTTTTTTTAATTCGGTTGGATAAGTTTATGTTGGTATCTGCTCATGTTTTCTATTGCTGCCAAAAGCTGGAAAGAGAACAACAACAGATTCTGCGGTGGAGCAGGCCATTAAGGAGAGAGAGGAAAAAGAACACAGAATTCAGGTATTAAAAACCGTTTTATTTCTGCTTTCATGTGTTTCTGTGACCCATATGTGAAATTTTACTGCAGCTTATGGATAAGTATGTTCATACACTGAAGGACGAGGTGAGGAAAAAAACCGAAGATTTGAAGAAAAAGGATGAGGAGTTAACCAAAGAGAGATCAGAACGCAAGTCTGTTGAGAAGGAAGTTGGAGACTCCTTGACCAAAATTAAAAAGGTTCGCTACATTCCAGCCTCACTTGTGTGTCTCTTGTTACTCACTTCTTGTAGGAATTGTTGGAAACTTTATACTGCAGAATCTCCACTTTGAAAACCTTCACCATTTACGTTGTATAGTCATACGTTCCCTATCATCTGTTTCTCAGGAGAAAACAAAAGTGGACGAAGAGCTTGCTAAGCTCGAGAGGTATCAGACAGCATTGGCCAAACTCTCTGAAGAACTGGACAAATTGAAGCAAGCGGATGGCAATCTCCCTGAGGTAACAAGTTTTATGTCATTTGGATGTATGTGTGTTTTCTATAAGGTAAAAAATTATGTTTATTTTACCGGTGTGTTCTGAACTCTCTTGTTTTTCTTAGGGTACTTCAGCTGTCCAGGTTCTATCTGGAAGCATATTGAATGACCAAGCCGCCGCTTACGTGTCAGCTGTAGAATACTTTGAACGTGTGGCTCGTTCTATTGCCATCAATTCTCAAGTCAGCACAAAGCCTACTGATATGGTGACTGAATCTTCCTCTGGCACTCCTGCTGGTAATCTAAAAGCACACCCAAAAACCTACCAAATTGTGATATTTTTTTTTATCCCAGTGTAAAGTGACAAAATTAATCTTTGGCGCAGCCGAGCCTTCAACCATGGCGAGAGTCCCTTCTTCAACACCTTTTAAAGCTCCGGTGGCCACTACCCAGCAGCTACCCAAAGTAGCGTCAGACAACAAAGAGAAGAGATTGACTTTACAGAAACCAAGCACTGGGTTTCGTAGACCAAGTAGTAGGAGGATTGTTCGTCCCCAACTTGTCAAACCTGAGGAATCTCCCAAAGTTGATGTTGATATGCCAGAAGCTGAGGGAACTGGTGATGAAGGAAAACAGTCTGCAACCCATGAAACAGAGAGCCAAGTGACTACATCTGTACGGCCTGTTCAAACACATGTGCGTAAACGCCAGGCTGATTCATTGGTTTCTGAGCCACAACAAGATAGCCTGACCCAAGGGGAAACCAGTTCTGAGATTGCACCACCTGCGTCGAAGAAGGCAAAAGGATCTGAGTCACAACCTGATGCTTCCGAAGGTGAAAACCTTGCAAAAGAGCCAGCCATGGACGAATTGATGGATGCTACAACTACAGCTGATGGTGACAATGAAGAAACAGAAGCCGAGAATGCAGAGGAGAAAACAGAGGAATCTGTGGAAGCACAACAAGAAAATGAAGTTGATGAACCAGTGGAAGAAAGTCCAACTGAGACAGAAACCATCCCTACCGAAGAAGAGTCTAGGGATCAGACCGAAGAAGAAAACCAAGAGCCTCTTACAGATATGGAATCCGATAAGGAAGAAGGAGAGCTCGATCTAGATACACTTGAAGATCTGGACGAGGGTACAGATGTAGCAAGCATGATGAGGAGTCCGGAGAAAGAAGAAGTGCAACCTGAGACGCTAGCTACACCCACACAGTCACCTTCTAGGATGGAGACAGCAATGGAGGAAGCTGAAACAACCATTGAGACACTGCTTGAAGATGATAAGACCGACGAAGGAGGTGATGCAGCTGAAGAAGCCTCTGATATACCTAACAATGCTAATGATCAACAAGAAGCACCAGAAACTGATATCAAGCCTGAGACCTCAGCAGCTACAACCTCCCCTGCATCTACCGCTCCAACAACTTCATCTACTCAAGCTTCTGCTATTGCTTCAAGCGGAGCTCCAGAAACAGAAGAAACCAAAAGAGCACCGTCGCCAGGTGGTGGAAGTTCAACTCTTGTGTCACTAACTGAGAGAGCAAGATTGAACAGAGAAACCAGAATAGCCAATCTAGCTCGAGCTCCTAATCCAGCCACCAGAGGAGCTCGTGGTCGAACTGTAAACCTCCGAGGAGGCGGTCGATTGGTGACTCGTGGTGGTCGGGCCCCACGTGGTGGACGTGGACACTCCCCGAGCCCACCGTGATTTTTGGTCGGTATGGTTGAACAATCAGACTTAGCCAAGCAGGCTCCTTGAAGAGAGTATTAATAACGGTAGAGAAACTCATTTCATGTCTAAACCTCTTTTCTTTTTGTATCCCGGTTTTCTTATTTCACTATAAAATCAAACCCTATCATTTTTGCCAATGATTACAAATTGCAAAACATATCATAAACACAAATTCACAAAACCAAAAAAAAAAAGGTGAAGAAAAACCCAACATTACACCATACAACGAAACAATACAACAAGAAGCCAACTCGCTTGTAATAAAATCAAAGCAATCCGAAACAATCGGACGGTTTATATTGATCCTTAACAAAAGAACCAAACCAAAAACACTACATGTTCTTCTAGTTAGTTCACTGTCCCCGGTAACTCTGTGTTTCCCTCGACTGTATTAGATATCGCCATTGTTTTAAAATCAGCAACCAAGTCTTCTTCTTTCTTCTGTAATCAAAGACATAAGATCATTCTCGTTAGAATACAATACATAGAACTAAAAGAGGATGATTGAGAGACATAAAGAGGAGAAATTCAAGACCTTTAATACCGGAGGGAACCTTAGCTTCTTCTGTACCATAACCTTCTCTCTGTTTTCATAAAAATCAAAATCATCTAATATAGATGTCTTTGCTGCATAGTTCTTGAAGATGTTCAACACTTCATTCCCTTGTGGCAACCTCACCTACATATGAAGGACAGTGTTTAAACAGTATGAGATGAAATTAGCTCTTGATAATGATTCCCTTTCTTAAGCCTATAAAAAAACTATGTTACCTACCTCTTGTGTGTCTCTGCTATTGGTAACAGGCTTGTTCTCATTGTTCTCTAGTATGATATGTCGTAATTGCGGATTTGGAACATCTTTGATGATGTGCCACTTGACCGGAAAATAGCCAGTCCACTTATCTTGTTGCCAGAACTCCATGCTTTTCTCATAATCAACTCGTCCCATCATCTCAGCTACACCGCAGAATTGGCCACTTGCATTCACCTGAATCCAAGTAAACCGATCAGAGACCAAGAAGACGTCGCAACGATGAATATGAATATAGCGAAAAATCCTATTTGCATACCGAGAAGAATAGGAAAACCGGGCACTTTCCACTTTTGTCTGCAATCCTCTTCTGAGATTCTTGATATGCACTATCTAACTTCTTGTTCCCATTGAGAGTACTAGACCAGACATTGTACTTGATGCTCTTGTGTATGTCGTCTTCGCTATACGATTTTATCACAAAAAAGATTGCTTCCTCGTATTTGGTCTGAAAGCTGGTGAGGTTATATTGATCCCTTCTGATCACAGAACCAACACCGTTACTTCTTTCATTCCCTTCAGCATCCAACGAACAAGATTCACATTCTCCATTGGTAATATGATTTTGACCGTTTGCTAAGTCATTTACGCTATTACCATTTTCTTTGTTCCTCGCTTTCGCCTTCTCTGTTTCATCCCGATTTAAAGCTCCAGACTTTTTCTTTACCGGGTCCATCGGGTAAGCAATGCGACCTCTTTCTTGGTTATGCAGTGGGAGTGGAGCATAGCTGTTCTGTTATGCCAATAGCATCAACCCAAAAACAAAGAAACAGATGAGTCAAATCTCTTCAGATAATGCGAAAGAGAGGAGAATTAACGAGGGAAAATATTACTTTTCGCGGTGTTTTAGGACGATCTCCCATGCCGTGACCCGTGAAGGAGTTCTTGCTCTTCGAGTAATAATTGTTGTGATTATGACTTGAAGAAGATATGTTCTGTTTCAAGGGTGGGGTATTTGAAGCAACACCATACACATACTTGTCTCCAACAGGGTCCCATAAATAGGTCGGTGATGCAACGTCTCCATAACCAAATTGGTTCTGATAATAACCTTGAGCTGCATACATCGGCGAATGAAGTGCTTGACTCGATACACCAACCGGGCTTATAGGCATATAAGTTTGACTAGCATCATAAGATTGAAACCCTGGCATCAAGTAGATCAAAGATCCATTTTCTCCTTGCAGAACCTTAAAATTAAGATCAAGAAAATGGTTAGTTAAAAAGCTCGAGTCACCGCGTGAGTAATTCATTCTTTTCTTGACAAGGAAGTTTTGATTACCGGGTACTGAACTTCTGTTCCATAACCATAGTATCCATTATCCTTTACTTCACCAACTGAACCATCAAGACCTGTAAAAGCACGTTAATTCAGAATTATGAACATCAAAAACAGAATTGAAATATATTATATATTATCATTGTGTGAAAAGAAGCAACACCTGGATAGTAGAATCCATAGTAGCCTCCATAAGGACAAGGCAGGCCTTGATATGTCTCCAGAGTTTCATAATATGATGGCTCTGACTGATTCTTATTCTCTTTTGCAGAAACCTTTAATGTTTCAAAACAACAGGAACACAAAAACACATACTGAGAAATCATCCTAAGAACCCAAAAAAAAATCAATCATCTGTAATTAACAGAGAAGAGAGAATTTCAATTACCATGGAAGTGGTGGAGGCAGTGACCTTAGCAAGAGGATCCACTTTAAGATTCTTCACCATATCTTCAATGGCTGAAACAAATTAAACAAACTTTCCCAAAGAGATCAGATTTTGAAATCAACAAAGAAACAAGATCAATACATGGACATATGTATGTATAAAGTAGACACAAACATTAGTAAGTAATCTTTTTAATGGCTTTATTTTCTTAACGATGTGAAGAGACAGGTTTGAAACGTGAACTGATGTCTGAATATTTAGTCGTACCGATAAAAAAACTAACAACTAGGCGTGACTGATTTATATATATTTATAGGTTATTATTGAAGATAAGACATATGAGTCTAATCACAAGAAACAGATATATATATATTTACACACACACAGGATTCAGATAAAGGTCAAGCGCAAAAGTTAAAAAGACTTGTAAGAACAACACAGATTAAACACGTGTGTGTGTGTGCGCGAAAGAGAGAAAGAAAGAGTACATTTACGAGGATGTTTTGGAACATGAGAAGTCATCTACGAAGAAGTAGTAAAAGAAATTTATGTGTTAAGACAAAAAGACGAAAAAATCAAAACACAGATGAAGAAACCAAAACTCGAATTATCTGTTTTGCAGAGGGTTTTGAAATTCTCAAGAATTATTTAATTAGGAAAAGAAAAATAGCTGTAGAAAATCTTCAAGAAGAAAACATCAACAAAAGATATCTTTTATTTTTATGTTTGAAAACAAAGTACAGATACGTAACAAAGAAAAACAGAGAGACGAGAGAGAGAAGAAATGGTAAATGGCTTACGAAGAAGAAGAAGGAAGAAGAACAGAGTTTTTTTTTTTCCTTTTTTCTTTTGCAATCCTTCTTATTTATTTTAGATGCAAATATATAAAAAAAATAGAAATTAAAAAAGAGGTTGAGAAGAGGTACAGATGGAGGGAAGAGAATGGTCCACGTCATGGATTCTTGATATGAACGAAGATTGACCGTTGGATTAGACGACAAGGCAAAAAACTAAAACATCTTTTCTTGCCAACTTTTCCATCTGGAATCTATTCTTAACACAACTCTCTTCAAAGTGCTTCTTCAAAAAGTTATTAAAAAAAGAGAATCTTAATTTGGCATTAACTAACACAATTAATTCTATATATATATACTATTCTATGGAAAAAAATGAAAGTTAGGACCAGTTCTTATGGTCGGGCAAACTATAAAAAGCACAGAATATAATGTAAGATAGTTGAAAATATATGGATTTGACTCTGCCTCTCTCTCTCTCTCCATGTATCCTCGAGTCCGAGCAATGCCACACAAAAAAAAAACTATATTTTGCATTAGAAATGATTTATTATTCGATGAGTTTTGCCACTTTTTAAAAAGTTTTCTCAACCATATTAATTAATTGCTCTTTTGTAATAAAATTAAAAATATTCTTTGATGAAAAGAGATGAACAATTCCTATACGCTACAGTTGTTGGATTTTTAGTTTTTAAAAATGTTATTTAAGATTGTAGATTGAGATCTCATACTATTGATATGGTTCCATTATTGCAATCTGAGTTTTTAGAAGAAAAAAAAATTGTATCATTAGGTGTCAAGTGGCCTATTCATTTGTGTACACTTACATATTGGATCTATATTTCTTATGTTCCCCACCAAAATCCAGATCTAAACTCATATAAAAGACATCCCGAAGTTTTTAACTATCCTTGAAAATGAAAACTCCTAACAATTTAATTTCTCTCTATTAGATTGGGACTAATAGATACAGCTTCACCTTACATAACTATATTTGAATAAAAGGGTTGTTTTTTTTTCTCCATTTGTATTATATCCAAAGTAGATATTGCTTAGGGATCAAGTATAGTACTAATTGTCAACACCACATAAGAAGCCAAATAGCCCAAAAAGAAAAGAAACACCATATGAAACTATTTAATACAATAATCCAAATTTATGGAGCTTAAGAGAATTACAAGGTGCCACGTTTTGTCATTGCCGTGGCCTAAACGTGTCTGCTTCACATCTATATGATTTTATTTTGTTTTTCTTATCTTTTCCGTCTTTTATTATATTTTTGTATTAAATTTCTGTGGTTATTTGTGATTACGTATGTATAATATAAGTTTATAAGATTGCATCTACAATTATTACACCAAATCTATATAATTGTAGTGACTTAATCTTACTTTAATCTGTTGACTTTGCATCGATGATAACTTGGGTGTTCACCTTATAATTTCTAAAATGCATTTGCAATGGTATAAAAAGAAAATAAATATTGGGACAATGCTGTAATTATTGAAAGTTATTGTAGTCAATTAGAATATCATTAATATTGAAATTTGTACGTATTAGGCCTTATTTTATAAGACAGGCACTAATGGGCCTATTTACTGTTTTGACGAAAAGCCATCGAATGGGCCTCTCCACTGTTATCAAGAAAAGCCCAATTAACTTTCTTGTAATTGTCATCATCTTCTTAATTCTGCTGCTTACAAAAACAAAACAAAACATAAACCAAAATCATACAAAGAGTAGAAATGTTGTTACAGTGTGATTGTACAGACAAAAGCATTAAATCGGGCGTGAGAAATTGGCAGGTTTCGATTTCACAGGAACGGGATTCAAAGCTTATCGAGAATAGCTTTGAGATGTGGATGAAGAAGAGGGTTTGTGGTGGTTGTACTCATATGAACCACGTACGATAGTTTTCCATTAACCAATTGAAATTCTCTACTTATCTCCTTCACCTGTTGGAGAAGACAAAACCAAAGTCACCAATTAGAAGAAGTGAGCAGAGACAGAGGAATTGAATTAAAATCTAAGAAAATTCATCTTAAACCTTTGATGCGTTTCCCACGAGATCACTTTTGAGTTTGATTGATTGTTCATCAACATTGTATGTTCCTTTCTGAGATCAGAGAATCAGATACATAAGACATGATTTTGGAAGATCTATGGGAAATTTGGATTTTACCTGGACTTCGACGAGACCTGTGCTCTGAGCAATGACGACTTCAATGGAACCATCTGGATTTGGACGAAAGTAACCACTCTCGGCGTGCATCGGAGCTCCTGATTCCAATTTCCATGTCCTTTGCGTATACGATATCACCGGCTACACAAACAACAGTGACAGTAAGCGATCTCGAATCTATCCACTCAATTATTGGATCTAGGTGATGATGAATCGGAGATCTGATTGTTTACCTTGCCGGAATGTGAGAAACGGAGCTCTTCGCCGTAGCGGAAAGAAGGTATAGTTGGATATTCACCTTCTCCTTGTCCTCTCCAAGTTCCCAGTAGATACGACAACGGCGCTACGAAAGGGTGCACCGGAATTGGCCGTGGGTTTTCGACTTCTTGCAGCTGGTTCATCGCCGCCAATAGCAATTTTCTCTGGACTCGCGTGATGATTGGTTAATATGCTAAAGCTGGCTACAGGCCCAATAATATTAGGCTATGTTCTGGGCCACTGGGCCTAAACTTTTTTTAAAAAAAATCGCTATAATGAATTCACTCGTATTTTTCACTTAATTATTTTTTTGATGATACATTGTACATTCGAACTTGACATAAATGGTGGGTTCGTTGAAAAACATTAAACAAATTGTGGACTCAAGAACTAAAAACAGATAGAGGTGTTCTATGATTAGTGTTTAGGGGTAATTATGTTTATGTATACTATCTAAAGGATATTCTGTTGTGAAAATATATTTAATTCAAGGATTAATATCTATGAAAGCATTGAATCATTGATACACCAATTGATATAAGATACTATTCATAGCAAACTAATTTGATTATTTTTGTTGGGTGAAGAAAAATATATATAGAAAGATATAAGAGATAATTAAGGGGACATCACAATTTCCTTTGTCTTGAAATTCAGACCATTTCCTCCCTCCACTTCTCCACTTTCTTTGGAACTCATAAGATACTTTTTCTCCATCCATTTCTTTTCCTCTCTTTTCTTAATTAATCACTGTCTTTTTCCCTAATTTCCACCTTCTTTCTTCCTTTCAAGACAAACTCCTATGTTCACCAAAAAAACAAAATTGAACAAAAAAAAGAAACACACACCATAATCTTAAAAACTAATCAATAAGATATAGAAGTTTTTTTTTTTCCTTGTAAAATATTTGCTCAAAATCCTTAATGGCTTCCGAAAACTTCAGACGTGGAAGGTAAAAATGCTGCAATCTTCTGCTCCATTTCTTTTTAATTTTCCCTGCCAAAAACAATAACTATATATACATACGTACCTCGACGTGCAGACCAATCCTTTTGCTAGATTCTATTCACAAGATATGAGGAAGGGCTTTAACATTCGTGACACCAAGTAATGTCCCCATATATGATAAAGGAACTCAACCCATATTGACCCTTTTTTTTAACAAAAAAACTTTAATCTTTCTACATTGAAACAGGTTTCTCTGATTTGGGAGACTCGCTGGCGATGTTAACGAAGCCCGGAAAGAAGCTTGACTCTTCAGAGGTATACGAGTCTAGTCTTGATAATGAATGGAATTTTCATACCTACTTGCAGTTTGAGATCTTATCTTTTCTTTTTCTTTTTCTTGTGCAGCCAAGTCACCATGTCTCGTCCTTGGGGCCAAAAGAATCAACTCATCATACAACGAGTTCCAATTATCCACCGTTAGATATTGTTCATCAAACTCCACAACCACGTAAAGAGATGCAACAAAGGCCATTGTTCGATCCCAAGAAGATGGATAATCTTATAAAACCAGAGCCAGCTGGGTTCAGTAATCATCACCGTCCAATCCCTAGTCCAAAAATCCCATCCTCACCTGGTTCCAGCATGGCCGAGTCACAATCAAACCTAAACACCAAACCAAGCAACAACAACAGTAACAACAATAGCAATATGAGTTCAAGAAGCAACAGCATTGAGAGCACTTCCTCTAATCCCTCTAAGCCACACACAGGTGGTGACATTAGGTGGGATGCTGTCAATATGTTGACCTCCAAAGGAGTCCAGCTCGGGATCAGCGATTTTCGGCTACTTAAACGGCTCGGTTATGGAGACATTGGGAGTGTTTACCTAGTCGAGCTAAGAGGAACCAACACCTATTTCGCCATGAAAGTGATGGACAAAGCTTCCTTAGCTAGCAGGAACAAGCTGTTGCGTGCTCAAACAGAGAGAGAGATCTTGTCTCAGCTTGATCACCCCTTCCTGCCCACTCTATACTCGCATTTTGAAACAGATAAGTTCTATTGCTTAGTCATGGAGTTTTGTGGTGGTGGTAATCTCTATTCCTTGAGACAGAAGCAACCAAACAAATGTTTCACAGAGGACGCCGCAAGGTTAGGGAAATCAAATTTACTGCAGTAAGTAGCACAAAAGACAACTCTATCGACATTTTTTTTTTTTTTCTTTTTCTCTTACAGATTCTTTGCTTCTGAAGTGCTATTGGCATTGGAGTACTTGCACATGCTCGGAATTGTTTACCGTGACTTGAAGCCAGAAAATGTTCTAGTCAGAGACGACGGACACATTATGCTCTCCGATTTCGATTTATCCCTCCGATGTTCAGTCAGTCCAACCCTCGTCAAATCATCCTCTGTTCACGCCGCCGGCGGCGGAAGCGGAAGCAGTCGGCCTGTAGGTCTAATCGACGAGGACGCGGCGGTGCAAGGTTGTATCCAACCGTCAACATTCTTCCCGCGGATTTTACAGTCGTCGAAGAGGAATCGAAAAGCGAAATCGGATTTCGGACTCTTCGTTAACGGATCCATGCCAGAACTCATGGCGGAGCCAACGAACGTCAAATCAATGTCATTCGTCGGAACACACGAGTATTTAGCACCGGAGATTATCCGTGGTGAAGGACACGGAAGCGCCGTAGATTGGTGGACCTTCGGAATTTTCATCTACGAGCTTCTCTATGGAGCGACGCCGTTTAAAGGACAAGGAAACCGTGCAACGCTTCACAACGTGATCGGACAAGCTTTAAGATTCCCTGAGGTTCCTCATGTGAGCTCGGCGGCGAGAGATCTCATCAAAGGATTATTAGTTAAAGAACCACAAAAACGAATCGCTTACAAACGTGGCGCGACGGAGATCAAGCAGCATCCGTTTTTCGAAGGTGTGAATTGGGCGCTGATTCGGAGTGCAACGCCGCCGCATGTACCAGAACCGGTGGATTTTTCGTGTTACGCAAGCAAGGATAAAGAGTCTATGGCGGCTGTTGACGGCGGCGGAAAGAAGAACAATATCGGTGCCGGAGGTGGTTGCAGCAGTGTCGGCGGTGGTGATAACAAATCTAACGGCGATTGCCATGATCCTGATTACATTGACTTTGAATATTTTTAGCAACTGATATACGTATAATGACTAAAATTCTTCAAACAATTTATGTATACCCTTTTTGTTGTTGTCTTTACATTATAGAGAATTTTATTTTATGATAATTGGTTTTATTCAACCTTTTTATTAGAGCTCGATATGAAGTGTATATATAAATTATGATTTCATTTTCACTATTTGCAAAACTGTATATAAATTAAAAGTATCAATTCAAATTTCGAGTCGAAAATTAATTCATGTATTTTTAGAAAAAAATGCGGATCGGTCAATTGCTTTTTTTTTTGTTTTCTGAACTGGGCTAGGTCAACTGTTATCTCTCTTTTCAACAAGACAACTGCTGTTATCTCACCAATAAAACCATGCTTCAATTTTTTTTGGTCATCAACCAGATTAAAATATATATTTTTGGGGTCAACTAACCATATTTAATTTTAAAAATAAAATAAAGTTAGGAAAACAAAATTGGGAAAAAACCCGAAAAAACCGTCATTTATTTTTTATTTGGCCGTTTAATACGTGTAGTTTTAAAATTGGAATAAAAATGCCTACTTTTATTTGTTGTTGTCTTTTAAATACTTTGTTTTTAAAATTTTGGTAGATTCGTACCTCCGCGTTAACGGCCCGGAGTCGCTAACTAGGGTTAAAACTTAACCAATTGTGTTTACGTATATATATACAATATCTTTTCAAACCTATACGAACGTATTGCTGTAGTCAAGTGGTAATATATGTGCTAAACTAACCACCCCGAACCAGAGATCGAGTCCCACATCTATCCTCTTCAGACGTTTATATATATATATATTTTTTTTTTCTGACTTTGTCTTCTTCGATGCCTAAACAGAATCTTCACTTGAATCCTTCTCATATCAGCTCTCACCATCACTTCCGTCAGCCTTTCACCGGGGCTCCATCACCATCACTTGTTGCAAGAATTCGCGTGTGATAATTCAGGCGCCAAGGCCCAAACATTTTGATATATCTAGTTGGGCCGGCCATGATAGCAAAAAGGAAATAGAAAAGAATCTAATCATCATCTATAATAGCAAAAAGGAAATGCGTGTTCACACCAAAAAAAAAAAAAAAAAAGGAAATGCGTGTTGAAAAAAGGGAAAAAGCAGTCAACGAACGCCAGCTGGACAAAAGTCAAAGTTGTTTGACTACCGACTTTATAAAGTTTTAATCTTGACCGTTGAAATTTACATAATCAAATCTAGACCGTCAATTTCTTTCATACCTCATCTATAAATAATGCTCTTCTCTTTCTCAATGTTCATCTCTAACCACATCTTCCTTGCTCTAAATAGTTTTCTCTACACGGTCGCTGGGGATATTCTTCTAAACGCGTCTCTGATTTTTTTTGAATCGATCATCGTTCCTACTTCTGGATTTTCACTTTCCATGGATAATTTATTTTTCTAGGGTTTGTTTCTAAAGCATCGATGGCTTTTTATGTTCATGCGATTTACTTTTTCCCTGTGTTATTCTAGATTGTGGTTTGATGATTTGATCGTTCGGTGATGTCTTTTATGGATCGTTGTCACGGGTATTCTCTACGCTACTAGGTCTTCAGGTTTTTTTTTTTTTTTTTTTCTCTTTACGCGTCTCTGATTTTTGTTTTCTTCTCTACGTTTCTTATTCGTCTCGAAGGTTTTTTGGAAGCTAATTACGATCCGATCATCGATTCTGAATTTTCGTCTTTTACTTGTTTACTTCTCGTTCTGTTGTTGTAGATTGTGGATGATGCTATGATCGATCGGTGATTGTTTTTCTGGATTTTTGTCACGCGTTTTCTCTACGATATGTCTTCAAGCGAATTTTGATCCGATCCTCGTTCTCGCTTCTGAGTTTTCTCATTTCACTGATTATTTATTCTTCTAGGGGTTGGTTTCTAAATTGCATCGAGTGGTCTGTTCTAATCCATGTTATTTGCTTCTCGTTTTATTGTTGATTTAGATTTAGATTGTGGAGGATGCTATGATTGATCGGTGATGGCTTTGATTGATCCTTGTCATGCGGTTTCTTAGGATCTTTTGTCTTTCTACTCCCAATTTTTAATTCTTATGCCGATTTTTTTCTGTATAAGCGAAAAATATCATCTTTCTTTGATGCAGATCGTCAAGGCACCGGGATTACTCTGATAAATATCTCTTCTCGTCTATCATCGATTTAGGTTTCTTCTGATTTCTCGTGCTACAGCTTTTTTTATTTTCCCTACCTCTGTTCCATTTCGTCTCTGTTTATCTTGAAGGATGCGTGTGATCTGTCGTCGCTCCCTTTTACCTCTGCTTCCTTTTTTAGAGTTCTTATATCACCTGAGTTATGATATTGGCTATTGTTGGTGAGGTATGATTTTGTCCTCTGTGTCTTGTTGTGTTTTCCAGATTCTCTGCTGTGTACACATTCAGATGAAAGATGAACATATATTCCTTCCAGACGAGTTTTTTTCTTATAGCTTGTCTTTTTTGTAAGTAGTTTTTCTATTGAACGTCTTCAAGTTTCTCAGTATTGCTATGTCTTAGCTCCTCTCATATGGTTTATCAGGTTTTGTTCCTCTTTGCCTCCGGGATCTGTTGCAATCTGTTTGTTCTAACATACGCCCTGGTTAACTGGTCTATTTCTCGGTCTCTCTGTTGTTGTATGTTAAATCTATGTATAGTGTTTGATCCTACTCTCATATGCTTGTGACGATGTTTTTATTTGTGAAGTGTCCCCCATCTTTTAGGGTTTTTGAGGATGCGAAGAAGGCTAGTTCTGTCTCAGTTTGTTTTGAAAGATGTCTTTGATCTATCGTGGCTCCCTGTTACTTCTTTGGCGGTGTCTTATATCTCCCTTTGTTTTATTTTTAGGGTTTTGAATTTCCCTATTACCTGATGTTTTTCGTTTTAAATCGTAGAGATCAAGGCATTGTGGGAGGGATGGATGGTTTTAAGTATAATTTTGTGTATTTGGTTACTTCTCATCTATACACTTTTTTTTTCCTATAGATTGTTTTATCTAATATTGGCCATTGTTGGTGAGGTATGATTTGTCCGCTGTGTCTGTGTTTCCCAGATTTTCTTTACCAATCACTTCACTCCGTTTAAGAGGTCAAAACATTGTGGCAGGGAAGGATGGTTTGAGTATAATTTTGTGTTTCTGGTTACTTCTGATCTATCCACCTTTTCCTATAGATTGTTTTATATCTAATATTGGCTATTGCTGGTGAGGTATGATTTGTCCTCTGTGTCTGTGTTTCCCAGATTTTCTTTACCAATCACTTCACTCCGTTTAAGAGGTCAAAGCATTGTGGCAGGGAAGGATGGTTTGAGTATAATTTTGTGTTTCTGGTTACTTCTGATCTATCCACCTTTTCCTATAGATTGTTTTATATCTAATATTGGCTATTGTTGGTGAGGTATGATTTGTCCTCTGTGTCTGTGTTTCCCAGATTTTCTTCACCACTTCACTCCGTTTCTCTGATGTGTACACACTTGAAAGATGATCATATATTCCTTCCAAACGAGTTTGTTCTTATGTCTTGTCCTTTTAATCAGCTTTTGTATTGAACGTTTTCAAATATCTTAGGATATCTATCTCTGGCTTCCTGAGGTTTGGACTGTACCATCAGGGAGTTTTCAACATTTCTTGCTATTTGATGTTTCAGGTTAAAATTAGATCTTCCTAGTGATGATGGAACTTCTGTCCTTCTATTCCCAATTTTTAATTCCTATGCCGATTTTTTTCTTCTATATAATCGAAAATATCATCTCTCTTTGATGCAAGATCGTCGAGGCACCTCAATTGCTCTGAGAAATATCTCTTTTGTCTGTCAATTATTTAGGTTTCTTCTGATTTCTCGTGCTTTTTTATTTTCCCTGTTTACAACCACAATTACCTCTGTTCTATTTTGTCTGTGTTTATCTTGAAGGACGTGTTGATCTGTCGTCGCTCCCTTTTACCTCTTTGGCGGTTTCTTCTTTCCCTATGCTTCCTTTTTAGGATTTTTAGATGACCAGATTTCTTTTCTTTTCTGATTTTTTGGAGAAATTTCCATGTTAGGTCGTAGATGTTCAAGGCATTGTTGGAGGGAGGATGGTTTGAGTATGATTTGGTGTTTCTGGTTTCTTCGCATCTATACACCTTTGTTTGCCTTCTAATTGATTTATTTAATATTGGCTATTGTTGGTGAGGTATGATTTTTTCCTTTGTGTCTTGTTGCGTTTTCCAGATTCTCTTCATCAATCAATTCACTTTGTTTCTCTGCCGTGTACACATTCAAGTGAAAGATGATTATATATTCCTTCCAAACGAGTTTTTTCTTATATCTTGTCCTTTTTATAAGTTTTTTTTCTATAGAACGACTTCAAGTTTCTCAGTACTAACATGTCTTAGCTCCTCTCATGTGGTTTATTCAGGTTCCGTTCCTCTTTGCCTCCGGGATCTGTTGCAATATGTTTGTTCTAACATACTCCCTGGCTAACTGGTCTATCCCCCTTTCTCTCTGGTGATGTATGTTAAATCTTTAGAGGGTTTGATCCTACTGTCATATGCTTGTGACGATGTTTTTTTTTATGTTAAGTGTCCCCCTTCTTTTAGGTTTTTTGAGGATGCAAAGAAGGCTAGTTCTGTCTGAGATTATTTTGAAAGATGTCTTTGATCTGTCGTGGTTTCCTGTTACCTCTTTGGCGGTGTCTTATCTCCTTTGTTTTATTTTTAGGGTTTCTAATTACCTGATGTTTTTCTTTTCTAACTGTTGGAGAAATTTTTGATTTAGATCGTAGAGGTCAAGGCATTGTGGGAGGGAAAGATGGTATTCGTATAATTTTGTGTTTCTGGTTACTTCTCATCTATACACGTTTTTTCCTATAGATTGTTTTATCTTATATTGGCTACTGTTGGTGAGGTATGATTTGTCCTGTGTTTGTTTCCCAGATTTTCTTCACCAATCACTTCACTCCATTTCTCTACTGTGTAGAAGTCAAGGCATGGGTGGAAGGATGGTTTGAGTATAATTTTGTGTTTCTGGTTACTTCCTATACACCTTTTTCTTATAAATTGATTTATCTAATATTGGCTATTTTTGGTGAGCTATGATTTGTCCTCTGTGTCTGTGTTTCCTAGATTTTCTTCACAAATCTCTTCACTCCGTTTCTCTGCTGTGTACACACTTGAAAGATGATCATATATTCCTTCCAAACGAGTCTGTTCTTATGTCTTGTCCTATTAAGTAAGTTTTTGTACTTAACGTTTTCAAATATCTTAGGTTAAATATCTGAGCTCCTCTGGTGTAGAAGGCTTGGCTGTGGTCTTTTCAGGTTTTTGTTTCTCATGCCCTTTGGGATAATTCAGCAATCTGTTTTCTTTTTTACATACTCCGTGGATTTTGAATGTTGGCTTTCTGAGGTTTGGACTGTACCGTCAGGGAGTTTTCAACATGACTTGCTATTTGATGTTTCAGGTTAAAAGTAGATCTTCCTAGTGATGTTCGCATTTCTGTTTTAAGCCTAAGGCCCTGTCTTTTGTTATAGATATTCGAGGTTCTAAAAGAGATAAGCCTCAGGTTTACTAAATAGATTCTTTCCCCTTTATCTCTGTTGGTGTTATCTCTCATGCTACATCTATATTAGTGATGGCTTGTTTTTATGTGAAGTGCTCCGCTCCCCTTGTTTATGGGTATGTTGAGGATGCAAAGGAGGCAAGTTCTATTTTGATTTGTTTTCCTCGAAATTTTCATCTACAGTGTTTGTTTTTTCCTTGAAGATGTCTCTATTTCTGATTTTATGCTCTAAATGCTAATCACTTCGGCTTGAGATCTTCTCTTTCTATATGAATTCATTATCTTCATATAGGAATTTGGAAGATGCAAGGAAAAATTCTTCTTCGACCTGTTCGCCTAGATTCCCATGTATTTGTGCATCGGGAGTTTAGCTAATCAGTTTTACAGGCTGCCTCAATAGGGATGAAAATGGAGAGGTTCCATCTTTGGTTGATTCAGGTGTCATTTGTGAATTACTATTGGTATAATTTTCTGGGTATTCAAGAGAAGTAAGCTAGAGTTTCCTTGATGTGTGGTTATTACGCCTCTCTCTATTTGTTCTATTGTTATAGGTTACTGGGTATTGCTTTGTGGTTCTCACTGGTTGCCTTAAAGGTATGATCTCTATTGGTATGTTTCCTTTTTGTGTTATTGTTTCACCTGTGTGTGTCTTATTGTGTTTTCCAGGATTTCTTCATTAATCACTTTACTCCGATCCTCGGCAGTATACTCGCAGTCAGATTAAAGATAATCACTAATTCCTTTTAACTGGGTTTGTACTAAGTAGTTTTTGTATTGAACATCTTCAAGTCTGTTAGGATTGTTCAAGTCTACGCACCTCTTATGCAGAAAGCTAGACATGTTGTTATTCAGGTATTTGTTCCTCTTTCCTTCTTGAATTTTCTGCAATATGTTGATTCATACTAACTGGATTTTGAAGTGTGTTTCCTTTCCTGCGCTTTCGACTGCGATAGTGGGACATGATTGGTACTTGTCATTGGATGTTTCCCGTCAACAGAAATATTCCTCACCTCCATACAGAGTTGCCTCAAGGAATTGTTTCAATTGACGGTGTCCCATCTTCTTCCTTGTTTCTGATTTTACGAGGCAATTTTTTTCGGAGAGTTTATTTTAGTTGCATTGTCTTTTGCTACTCAGTGAGGGTAAATATATGCGCTGTAGATATTGAGGATCCAGTACAATTACTTTTGTGTTGGTCTGTTTCTCCAGCAAGACAAGGTAACGCTGAAGATTCTGAGTTTGCTCTTCGGTTTTGTTATGTAAACGTTTGTGTTTTGGTCTCTCTTCTGTTTAATAGTCTCTGGGGATTAGTTGGCCGTGATGGTGGAAGCTCTGTAGGTTTACTTCTCTACCATACTTGTTCTACCAATTTGAAGATTTGTCTTTTGTACCTTTGATGATTCTCAGTTTTGCAGCAATGTCTCAGTTTTGCGCCTTCTAGTCATTAAACTGCCACAATGAGATCTTTAGTGTTTTTGTAGGTACTTCCACGCTTGTTAGAAATGTTATGATTAATGCTAGCGGGACATCAGATTTGTTGTCGTTCTCAGAAGTTGGTAGGAATGAATCTTGTGATTCTATGGAACAGATGTCATTGTTTATTTTTGATAACATGTGATTCTTGCTGGTAGTGTGAAATCTTGAGGGCAGGCCCATAGAAGGTGAAGAGCCTCTTGGTTTTGATGATAATGCCTCCCTACTTCTGACTTCTGAGGTTTCTTTCTTCCTGGGTTGTAGCTGGTTTAATGGTTTTGTAGACATTTGATAATGAAGTCCTCACATCATTTTGTCTGGGTGATGTAATATGTTATAAGTGGATTTCAGGTGAGGCTTAATCTCATGGATTATTCTTGGGGAATTCTCTCAGTTAATCAGTTCTCTCAGTTAATCAGTGAAAATTGAGAAAATGACATTACTTCTGGTGAAGAAGTCGATTGCAATATATTGTTGGATTGTTACCTCCAAATCCTAGTTCCTTTCTTCCTTGGACATACATATTGGTTAGATTATGCAAATAAGCTGTTATGTGGCTTGTAGGTCAAGGCTTGCTTGAAATTCCTGATGGTCTTCTGACACTAATACATAACCTCCGTTCTGGTTACTTTTATTCACCTTCTACGACTGTGGAAGTGATGTTTCCTCAACTCCTCATCTCTTGAACCTTAATTTGCCCTGTCGCACATTGAAGCCTATTTTTTGGTTGCAGTTTGTTAAGTTTTCATGGGAAGCATTGTCTTTGGAGTTGTTCACTGAAGTTGATTTTTAATCCTGAACTTGTTTTTCATGGGAAGCACTTACAGAAGTGTCTGTGCTGTTTCAGTATTCGAGGTTTGCTTTTATTTGCCAGTCGTTCCTTGTTACTTTTTTTGCTTTTGTTCTTACTGGCCTTGCTTTTCTCTGGTTCATGTATTACTTGATGCAAGTCTTGACACTTTCCCGAGATTTGACCAAACTCTGATGCGGAAGGCTCGACATGTGGAAATCAGTTTTTACTGGTATTCCTAGTACTCTGGGACTTCTATCTATGCAAAATATTGTCTTGTTGTTATAGAAAACCATAAGGTCACTATTTGTAATTTCAGGGCCAGAACTATTCCAGGCCTTTATCTTGTGTTGGTGATTAGTGTTGCTCATATTCCACCTACTGAAGGGAGTTTGCTATATGGTACGGATGCCATGTGTCTTTATTTACGTGATTAATATAAGTCGTACTTGCTGGTATTGTGGCCTCTTGGGGACTCACTGAAGGTAGAAAATGTCTTTATTTTGGTGATAATGCTCCTTACTTTTGAGGTTGGGCGGTTTTGTTGTGAAAAATGAAATGAATGTCTGCTCTTGTTATATTGTTGTTTGCTATTATTGATCGCATGTTGTTGGTTTAGTTCGGGAGAGGTTTAAACTTGTGGCCTCGTTGCGTAGTGTTCTTAGTTTAGTCAGAGATGATTGAGTGAACTTACTGCTGGTGAAGAAGTTGATTGCAATATGTTGCTTGCAGGTCAAAGTTTGCATACTGACGCCGGTTTCAATGAAATTACTGATGTACCTTTATGTTTAACTCAGAGTTGCCTAGATCAGTTATGGGCCCTGCCGTGTGGTTGCTTTGACTTGGCGTCTACAATTTCGCAAGTGATGTTTTCTCAACTTGTCATTGTTCGAACCTTGAGGAGGCTCATATTGGTTTGTCGCACATTGAAGTCTACGCTGGTGTTGTAGTTTGTGAAGTTTTCATGGGAAGCAGCATTGTGGTTGGAGTAGACCGAAAATGATTAATGTTTGTTTGATTAGTGATATTGTTCACTTATCGACTTTTGTATGTAATTTATTCTCTGAGGGAATTGAAGTCTTGTTCCAGAAGTCTTTGGAGCCGTTGAGTCTGAAAGTCTTGGATGTATATGATTCTATATTGTTAGAATAAATTTTCATTCTCAATACCATTGTTGCTTCCGTTGTTTGGTTTGGTCCGGATGTGAAGGTTTTTAATTTCATGTCTCACTAGTGTTTGCCTAAAAAGCATATAAGAAGAAGTTAATCAGTTAATGTGCCAGCTGAGTTAGTGGTCCATTAATTAACCATGTCGGCAAAAAGTCAAATGTCCCACACTCTGAGAAAGCTTAAAGAATTCGAATCAACATTTTCCCTAATATGAGTTGCGAAGAATCTCCTCATTTTCTTTGTATGGCTGTGGTTTTCGTCCTCAGCTTTTTCTCCTTCATTGTCGTATGCTTAGGAATACGACGTCTCCTTCACCTTCTTCACAAGAGAGAAGAAGTAACGCAGCTCCAGCATCATGTAACCTTCAGAGGTGTTTCTCCGGCGGCGGCGTCACGGTGTTTGTGGAAGTACGATGTGTTCCTCAGTTTCAGGGGAGTAGATGTACGCAAAGGATTCCTCAGCCATCTCTACAAAGCTCTCACCGACAATGGGATCCACACTTTCCGTGACGATACAGAACTCCAGCGAGGGAATTTCATCAGCCCGGCGCTCTTGGAAGCGATTGAACAGTCGAGATTTGCTGTCGTTGTGCTCTCCGAGAACTACGCTACCTCTCGCTGGTGTTTGCAAGAGCTTGTTCATATTACAGATTGCGTCGACAAGAAACAACGCCTCCAACTTATACCGGTTTTCTTCGGAGTTGATCCTTCACATGTGAAGAAACAATCTGGAAATTTTGCCAAGGCCTTTGCTGAACACGAGAAGAGACCTGATACCAAGACAGTGGAAACATGGAGAAAAGCTATGGCCAAAGTAGGGTTGATCTCCGGCTGGGATTCTAGAAACTTTGAATATTTTTAACGGCGATTGCCATGATCCTGATTACATTGACTTTGAATATTTTTAGCAACTGATATACGTATAATGACTAAAATTCTTCAAACAATTTATGTATACCCTTTTTGTGTTGTCTTTACATTATAGAGAATTTTATTTTATGATAATTGGTTTCATTTAATTTTTTTATTAGAGCTCGATATGAAGTGTATAATTTGTAGCTAGCTAAAAGCTTAAGGTGTAAGTGTGAGTGTGTGTAGTTAGTATTAAAAAGACTACAATATAAGTATGAAGGTGTGATCAGAGATATTGTTGTAAAAGTATCCAAGTATCAATGTAAGAAATAAGTTTCTTTATTTATCTCTCCTAAAACGTTTTTGTGTTTATCATAGAACAAGAACAAAAACAAAGAGGACTAGAGAGAATGGAGAGAGGTTGACCTAAAGAGAGTGAAGGACTCAACATGTCACATGATCTTGATGACATTGTCGATAATGACTATTTATACTGTATCTAGTTGCTTTCAAACAATTTAATACTTCTCTTTATTGCCTTTACATTTCTAGGGAAATTTTTATCTTTCTTGCCCATAATTTTTTCTTTTATCCAACCTATTTATTCGGGTTTACTAATTTAGATTTGAGGGGATTTTTTATTTTATTTTATAAAACATGATTTCAATTCCAGAATTTGTAATTGTTTATAAATAAAAACATATATATATATATATATATATATATATCAAAAATAAATAAATAGAAGAGAAATAAACTAGAAACCAAGTAAGAAAAAGCCCAATAGGAGCCCAAAGAAACTTGGTGAAGGGACGAGTAAGTTTAAATTTGGTCAAGTAGAGGATTCCTGTTAAGTCCTCTGATAAAAGTAAAAATAAAAATAATTAACAGCACAGAAGAGTTAGAGTACGTGAAAGAATGGGTACAGAAACGAAAGAAGGTAAATAATAGGAGGGTGATAGTGAATACAAGATACAAAAAAAAAAAAAAAAAAAAAAAAAAAAAAAAAAAAAAGGAAACTTGCGTGACAAAAAATAAAAAATGGCAATCATGTGAAACCGACGTTGTTATTTCAATCTTGACCGCTGAAAACAATTTGATCATATCGTGACCGTCAATTGCATGTGTTCGTCATCTATAAATAAAGCTGAATAATTAGGGCTGGGGTCGACGATATTCGTTTGTGCAAATTACACGATTTCTGATTTGAAGTGATGTTGTGTTCATTCTACAAGACGATATACAAAGTCGTGGATGATCCATCATTGGATCCAATTATCTCGTGGAGCAAGAGCAACAATAGCTTCATCGTTTGGAATCTGGAAGGGCTTCACCGAGAGGTTCTGCCGAAATCGATAGAATTTGGCAAACATTACTTGAAGTTCATGACCGAACTCAAGTTTTATGTGAGTTTTATATATGTATATATATGCAAAGATTATATCTCCGAGTTTGGAATCGTCTCTCATCTTGTTTTTGTTGTTGTTGACAGGGCTTTAGAAGAATTAAGGGGTCAGAGCAATGGGAATTTGGACATGAGTATTTTGTGAGAGGCCAACCTGAGCTTTTGGTGAAGATGATGTTCAAAACTGGGATGAAGAGGATTGAGGAACTTGCAGCCAAACGCCGAGCAAAGAAAAAGAAAGCCAAAGCTGCAGCCAAAGCTAAAGCTGATGAAGCGGAAGTAGAGGATCGCTTGCAACACTTGAGAATCTGATCAAAAAATCTCTTCGTTTTTATGACTGAAATAAGCTCTTGTATTGTTTCTATCAATAACAATTTAGTCTGTCAATAAAATTGATGGTTTTTTTTCTTTCTTTTCTTTCAATCTGTAGTTTTCCTTCCTTCCTCTTACCTCTTCCGATTGATTGACATGGGCTGTAATCCTACTCGATGATAACCTCGTAGAGGCCGATATAGAAACTGTTAAGTATGCTTGACATTATGTTTTTGCTGGTGTTCCTAGCAATGCTATTTGTGCCTAATGGATGCTGTCCTGTTCTTAGAGATGGTCCACGTTCCGAAAGAGAAACCATAAGGTTACTATCTGTCATTCTGGGGGCAGGTAATGATGGTGTGCTACTACTTTTGCATATTCCAGACCTTTATCCTGTCTTGTGGATTGGTGTTTGCTCATATTCCTCCTAATGAATGGAGCTTTGCTATATATTTGGTAGAAAGTTTCTTGTGCTATATATAATGCAATTGGTGAAACTGTCATCATATCCCTTAACCTGCGTTTCTTCCACTGATCACCTGTGCTCGCAGGAACTTGAGGATTCTTTGGAATAGGACATAGTTAAGAGTTTTATGATTGATTGACAAAAAAAAAAAAAAAAAAAAGAGTTTTATGATTTTGTCCACGCATCCGTGTTTCTTAACATATCTCAATGTATGTTTGAGATAGAAAGGCCAATCACATGTGAGTCCTTAAAAAAGCTGTCTCTATGCTTGGATGAGCCCAAAAGGAATGACGAATCTGCCTTCATCATGAAACGATTAATACTATCATATGTTTTCTCTACAAAATGTTAAATACAACATCATAAGATTTTTCACTATCTATACTAAAGAAATTAAAACAAATCATTTAATTAACAAACTTTAAAGTATCAAATATCAAATATATCTGGGCGTAGCCCGGATTCGCCCTAGTTTATTAAAAAAAATAAGGAAAACTTCCACTTACACAACTCTGTTTTTTTTTTTGGTCCTAAACAAGGAGCTTTGTGGGACTTTTCTTTAGTCACATCTTCATCAACAAAATTCCACATCTTTATCCAATAAAAGAAATAATTTATATGTAAATACATAATTAAATTTTGTTTATTGAAGAAGTAATGTTCAATTTTCCTATGGATATAATAGACTACTAATTTTTAAGAAAATAATTGCTGAGTTTTTTGAAATCATTCATCTATATATACATTTTTGGATGACTTTTAGCAAATAAATCCTGGAGTTGGAATGTATTTACAAAGAATACCATTGGTTGGGTGGGTTTTTTTTAAAAAACGAGTGACCCGGTTTCAATTTCGGATATTTCCGAAATTTCCTCTTACAACATTAAATCAAAATTGACATTAATTAGTTTGTAAATCTCGATTATTAGTTGTGAATCCCAACTGAACTCCCTCAAAAATATTCCTAATAGCGAACGTGATCTTGAAAATATTGGGCATAGAAACTAATAAGTACACTAACATTCTTTCTTAGTAGCATATTCCTTATCTAAATACTAAATCTTTTATTTTAATTCTAATCAAAATACATGTAATCTAAATTCAATCAAGATTTTCTCCATTTGCTAGCTATAGAGATCGAGAAAATAAAGGATATAATAAATAATTACTACACTAACACTCCTTATTAGTAGCATATTCCTTATCTAAATAGTAAATCATTTGTATTACTTAATGTAGTTGATATTTCGGAGATTTTATGCTTGCTTACCAATTTCTCTAGATTCGCAATCACA